GAAAGAAATTGGGATTGGCCTGTTTAAACACCGATGGTTTCCCCCGCAGCTGTTGAAAGCATCCCCGCCCTCACGGCCCTGCAGTCCTCGCCGGTTCTGCACACGCTCCTCTACGGCTTGTACAAGGACCTACGGCGGCTGAACCCGCGGCGATGGGCCAGCTTCTTCTCTGCCGGGGTGGAGCACGGTGACTTCCAGGAGGACTTGGAGGAGCTGAGGACTCTGTCCCAGTGCTACGAAACGGGGCTTGGAGCCGATGAATCTGAAGATGAAGCAGATTCAGACTAACTCATCTTTATTACTAGAGGGAGTGGGACCGAGAGTATCTGTAAGATCACTTTCAAAATAAAAGGAATGGGTCTAAAGAATGGGTTTAAAGATGGCCCAGCTGCTGCTTTCTTTTCCTTTCAGCCAAATCCTGTGACAAAGGCTGGCTTAAGTTGTCCAGCTGCTCGCAGTTGTGTTGTAGAGGAGGAAAGCTGCTTTTTTGGGGCTGTTTTTCTATGCTCTTTTTTTTTGTTTTGTTTTAAAACTCTGCAAAGTGAATTTGCTCTGCCTGTTAGAATAAGACCACACAATAAATACAGAACCCAGACTGTAACTTTCCTACATACAATCAGCACAAAGGGAAAAACTTACAAAAAATCACGTGTTTGTTCCACACGAAAACAGATGCCTTATGGTACAACATTTACAGGTTCGTTTGGAAGGCTGGTGGCCCAGTCTTTGCCACGGAGCCAGGTCAGCATCTGCAAGCATCACTTCTGTCATCTCATGGCTGAGGCTCCCCATGCAGGCTCTTGAGGATGCTGCCATGCCAACACCCTTCTTCACTCCGTTAGTTTGATACAGATGGAGAAGTGCGGCTTGTCAGAAGCGTAGCAGGAAAACAAACAACAAAAAAACCCAAGGTGCTATCTGAAGTAGCTGTGCAAACATTTTTCCTTTATCCACAGCACCTGTCTAGCAGCAAACAACTCCCCCTCTGATGCAGTCAGTAGCTTATCAAACCAGCAGAACCTTAGTCATCAGGTTCTTCCTCAGAAAGCAGCAGATCTTTGTCTGACAGCTGGTCGGTGTTACTGGTACTAGTGGCATCCTCCTCATCTTCAGAGCTGCCATCGCAGGATGTATGAAACAGCCTCATCAGTTCTCTGAACCTGTGGGATACCTGGAGAACAAGGGAAAGCCGAGATGAGAAGTGACCCAGAAGGTGGCACCAAGCGGAACATTTGTATTCCAAAGTTTAGGGTGGTTGGTGCTTTTAGT